AGGGACTCGTCGCTCCCACGTCACGCCGCTTTTGCGCGAGCTGCATTGGCTGCCGGTAGCCTTCCGGGTGCGCTTCAAGGTGTTGACTATTATCTTTAAAGCGCTCCATGGCATCGGACCTGGCTATCTTCGAGACCGCCTCCTGCCACAGATTACCCCCCACCGACCTGTACGCTCTCACAGAGTGGGTCTCCTCAGGATGCCGTCAGCCAGACAGTGCCGGCTGGCGACCCCAAGGGGGAGGGCCTTCTCTGTGGGAGCTCCCACCCTCTGGAATGAACTGCCCCCAGAGATCAGGGTGATCCCTGATCTCCCTTCCTTCCGCCGCGCCCTCAAGACGTGGTTGTTCCAGCTTGCGGGACTGGCCTAAGGGATTTTAAAGGGGTTTTAATTACTTTTAATCTGACGAATTTAAATATTTCTTTTTAATCAAATTTTAATTAGGTGTATAATATGTTAGTATTTTATCCAATTGTCAGCCGCCCTGAGTCCGCAAGGAGAAGGGCGGGATATAAATGTAATTAATAAATAAATAAATAAATAAAAATCAAGCCGGATATGGTGAAGTAGGCGAGGGCCATTTGCTGGCCACTTCCAGGCGATGGTGCATTTCTTCATTCCTCACAAACGGTGACGCCTCCCCAGCATGCACCCAGGGGGCGGGGCCGACGTGGCAGGGGTTGGTTCCTCGCTGTTTCCAGACGGCCTTGTGGCGCTAAGACTGAATGTGTTTCAGCATAGATGGCCACCACAAAATTTGTACATTGGCTCCCGGCCGGCCTGGGCCAGGGCCAAGGCAGCGGGGGCCGTTCCCTCACTGTTTCCAGGATGGCTTCACGGGCCACATGAAACCACTTCGCAGGTCGCCTCCGGCCTTGTGTTTGACATGTCTGCTCTAAAAGAAGGCAAATGACCAGCTGTCTGAAAGGAGTATAAATCCTTCCATTTCCCCACCATCCAGTCAGAGCGGAAGAAGAAGCGAAATGTCTTCAAAGAAAAAACAAGGAAGTCCAGTTGCCTCTTGAAAAAGCATAATGGCTCACCCAGAAAAATTCTTCGGTTATGACTAAATCAGGGAGGACAGTCAGAACTGAAGAAGCTTCTTGGATGAGAAGCGAAATGTCTTTGAGGACAAACAAAGGAAGTCCGGTTGTCTCCTGAAAAAAAGCACCTATGGGATGACCATGATCTGGATGACGGGGAACCTCCGTGGACGTATCTCCCTTCTTCCCAGGTCCCGTGCTGTAGAAGCATAAAAGACACCTACCCTCACCTTCTTTGCTTCCTGTTTCTGCAGGGGAAGGGAGAGACGCGTTGTGCTGGAGAGCTGCGTTGGCCACCGCGTTGGCTGTGACCGTGAAGGCTGTTTGAGGAACCAAACGGGGCATCAGAGGAACCAGCCGACGGCCTTCGATGGACCACTCGGAAGAGCTGTTCGGCCCGGACATGCTGAAGAGAAACCCACAAGTTTAGAAACAGCCCGTTCACTTCCCACTTGAATTACTTAAAAGCTTTCCCTAATCACAACTTGCCTGCGGACGTTGTGGGTGCTCCAACACTGGAGGTTTTTAAAAAGAGAATGGACAGCCATTTGTCTGAAATGGTCTAGGGCAGGAGTGTTCAAACGTGGCCCTTTTATGACTTGTGGACTTCAACTCCCAGAATTCCTCAGCCAGGCACGAATTGTGGGAGTTGAAGTCCACGAGTCTCTTCCAGCTCTATTCTGATTGATTGATTGATCATATCAAATCCATATATTGGAACTTTTGTTTGACGCTAAAACATACGAAGAACGGTTGCAGAAATTGGTTGTGTCTAATCTAATGGAAAGAAGGACCAAGGGTGACATGATAGCAGTCTTCCAGTATCTCAGGGGCTGCCCCAAAGAAGAGGGAATCAAACTATTCTCCAAACACCTGAAGGCAGGACAAGAAGCAACGGATGGAAACTAACCAAAGAGAGAAGCAACCTAGAACTAAGAAGAAATTTCCTGACAGTCAGAACAATTAACCAGTGGAACAACCTGCCACCAGAAGTTATGAATGCTCCAACACTGGAGGTTTTTAAGAAGAGACTGGACAGCCATTTGTCCAAAATGGTATAGGGTTTCCTGCCTGAGCAGGCGATTGGACTAGATAACCTCCAAGGTCCCTTCCAACTTTATTATTATTATTAAATTTAATAAAGGAAGAAATTATTAGCGTCAACCATGTACTGGGCACGGGGCCCTTAAAGGCAAAAGAGACACTTGGAAATGTTGCCCATGCGAGATTTGGTTCTAAAATGTTCGTAAGGCGCCCATCTTACTTATGTGCAATCGTTGTCAAGCGTTCATCGTTGACCGCCCTCCGAACTTCCGCCCGGTGTCTTTCCGTCGAAATGCTGTCGAAAGACATGGATCAGGTTTAACTTCAGCTTTGCAAAGCGGAACAGACACTGAACAGAAGCAAGACTGCATAGGTGGTCCTCACTTCACCATGGGAATCGGGACCGGCAACTGTCGCTAAGCAACAGGGCCCATAAAACATGATGTCGCAGCACCGTGACAACTTAACGACGGCAAGTGCGGCAGTTCCCATGGCTGTCATTAAGTGAGTCCCAGGTGGTTGCTTTGTTCCATGGTCACATGACTAATATTGGCAATCTCTTGTCGGTTTTTTTGGGGGGGAGTTAATGCCGGGATGCTGTGATGGCTGAAAACCACAAGAACCTGTTGTAGGAAGTTTTGAAGATTAGTTTTAATTTTTGGGGAGTTACCAATTAACAGTGAAGAGAGATGGGGTCGATTTGATTGACAGAGAACGGAATTTTCTATCTGGAATATTTGTTAAGACATGAGGGTTTCACGTAGTGATTGAGTTAAGTATAGGTGGGAAAATTTACAACCATTTGTTCGATAGGTGTTATGTTTATCCACATTCAGCCAGGCTGGATGTTTGTTGAGTGTTAATTGGGTATCTGTTATATACACTCCCCCCCTCCCTTTTTTTAAAATCCAGTGTTGTTCATTTTTTCCCCGCCTGGTTTGTAGTGCTTGTTATTTTTTGTTGATTCTTATTTGTATTTCACCTTTTGAGATGAATACCAAATTTCAATTTTTTTTAAAAAAAGGACCTGTTGAACGTCTCCCGTTGTAACTTCAAACGGTCAGTGAATAAGTAGAATCCTGCAGTTATTAAGGGAAGCTAGCTTCCCCCCCCCTTGACTTTATTTGGTTGCAAATGGGGATCACACAGCCCTCGGCTATCGCAACCCTTGTAAACACATGCTGGTTGCCAAACGCTCGAATTTCGATCACGTAACTCTAGAAATGCTGTGATGATTGTTAAGTGTAGTAAGCGACTTGTTCCAGTACTGTTGTAACTTCGGTCATTAAATGAATGGATGTAAGTCGAGGATGACCTGTAATCCTCTAAAGCAGGGGTCCCTCTTCAAACTTGGCACTTTTCTGACTTGTGGACCAACTCCCAGAATTCCTCAGCCTGAGGAATTCTGGGAATTGAAGTCCACAAGTCATAAAAGGGCCAAGTTTGAAGACAGACCCCTGCTCTAAAGGTAGAATTTTCTTCTGATGAGGGAAGAAAACCATCCACTTTCTGCATTTTTTCCCCTTTTTTTTGCATCTATCCCTGAATTGCCAACTTGGGCTCAGCCTTCCTTAGCAGAGAGAAAGCCACCCCATCCAGGCTAACCTGGGTTTTTACCTCAGCACTCTGGAAAGTTCTCCCAGAAGGTCCCGCTTCTCCTTCGTCAGATCTCCCTGGGCCCGCAAGGCACTGATCACTCCAGCGTAGGCTTCCAGTTCTACGCAGCGGAAAGAGGAGAAAAGACAGGTTGAGATTCAAAGGAAGTCGCAGGAGACAAGAAGGCAGGGGTCTTCAAACCTGGCTCTTTTGTGACTGGTGAACTACAACTCCCAGAATTCCTCAGCCAGCATGGGGGAACTATGGCCCCTTCATGACTCGTGGACTTCAACTCCCAGAATTCCTGAGCCAGCATGGGGGAACTATGGCCCCCTCATGACTGGTGGACTTCAACTCCCAGAATTCCTGAGCCAGCATGGGGGAACTATGGCCCCTTCATGACTCGTGGACTTCAACTCCCAGAATTCCTCAGCCAGCATGGGGAAACTATGGCCCCTTCAGAAACAACCTAGAACTAAGGAGAAACTTCCTGACAGTGAGAACAATTAACCAGTGGAACAGAAGCGGTGAATGCTCCAACACTGGAAGTTTTTAAGAAGAAACTGGACAGCCATTTGTCCAAAATTGTATAGGGTTTCCTGCCTGAGCAGGGGGTTGGACTAGAAGACCTCCAAGGTCCCTTCCAACTTTATTATTATTATTATTATTATTATTATTATTATTATTATTATTATTATTATTATTATTATTATTATTATTATTATTATTATTATTATTATTATTACGAAGTCTTAGTGCAAATCTCAGGTTACAACATCAAATCATTCTTCTCTTTTTCCCTTAACGTTGACCGTCTCATATTCAGATGAGTACATTTCTAATTAGATCAGCTCAATAAGAACGTCATTATTACATTTATCAATAAAGTTTTAGCTTACACGCATCTTAATTACATTCCAATCTTCACAAACAATCCATGTTCCTGTTATTGATTTTTTTTACTAAATTTGTTTTAATTTCTGATCAATATTCCAATTTAACCTTTAATATGTATCGTTTTCAGATTTTGGGGTAACCCGAATTTCCCTTATCTCACTTCACAACCAACTGTAACATCCAAAATACACCTTTTCTCTATTGGAACATAATCTGGTTCTATCTCCTGAGAGTTATCTATTGCCCACTGTACTGAATTTAATTTAATTTAATTTAATTTAATACATTGACTTATATGCCGCCCTTCTCCCCACGGGACTCAGGGCGCCTCACAGCATATTAAAACAACATAGCACATTTCCCCAATAAAAGCCAATTAAAACCAAATATTTGTAGCTGTGTCTCTTATTAAAAATCATTAAAAATTATCCCTATTTAAAATTCACCCTAGGTCAGTCCCGCTTGCTGAAAAAGCCATGTCTTGAGGGCGCGGCGGAAGGTTAGGAGATCCGGAATCGNTATAGGGTTTCCTGCCTGAGCAGGGGGTTGGACTAGATGACCTCCAAGGTCCCTTCCAACTTTATTATTATTATTATTATTATTATTATTATTATTATTATTATTATTATTATTATTATTATTACGAAGTCTTAGTGCAAATCTCAGGTTACAACATCAAATCATTCTTCCCTTTTTCCCTTAACGCTGACCGTCTCATATTCAGATGAGTACATTTCTAATTAGATCAGCTCAATAAGAACGTCATTATTACATTTATCAATAAAGTTTTAGCTTACACGCATCTTAATTACATTCCAATCTTCACAAACAATCCATGTCCTGTTATTGATTTTTTTTTTTACTCATTTTTTTTAATTTCTGATCAATATTCCAATTTAACCTTTAATATGTATCATTTGCAGATTTTGGGGTCACCCGAATTTCCCTTATCTCACTTCGCAACCAACTGTAATATCCAAAATACATCTTTTCTCTATTTGAATATAATCTGGTTCTATCTCCTGAGAGTTATCTATTGCCCACCGTACTGAATCATCTACCTACGCTCCATCTTGAGGGCTAGGAACTTGTCCTTCTCTGGAAAGGTTCCCCTATCCAGGCTGCACCTTACCCAATTTCCGGAGGACCCTCTTGCATTCATCCCGGCTGAGGTCCAGTAATGTTGGCCACACCACAGGCATCGTTGCCCGGTCAGTTGGCTCCTGTGGAGCTTAGCCACCTTGGGAAGATACACAAAGAGCGTTAGGGCTGAAAAGCCCTCCGTCGCAATCTTTTGACGACAATTCTTTTTTTTTTTTTAAACAAAATTTTATTAAGTTTATATAGATGAGGAAAAATAGGAACAATACAGGTATGGTAAAGGGAGGGGTGGAAGGAAAGGGGGAGGGGAAGGAAATAAGGAATTGGGGTAAAATAAGGATAGGTACAATCACATATTTCAACAAACAAGCTACCGTCCGGATCATAACGATGAGTAAATATCATATTCAACCCTTTTTTTAGCGAAGCTTAGACAGTAACATGTTAAAAACAAATAGTAAACAAATACGTCGATCTATTTATATTATTTTAAAGGAGTATTTGAGATTAAAGGTTGAGATAGAGCTTATATGATTATAGGGGCTCAAAATATCTGAGAACTTTATTGGAGATATGAAATATTTGTGATTTATTTTTATGGAGGGGGATATCTAATGGAAAGATTTGAATTAAGAAATGAATAGTAGCAAGATGATTTTGTAGAAATGGCAAAGATTAACTTGAAGATACTTGGGTTTATCGAAGATGGACAGATTATATGCTTAGAGTTTATATGTGTATACGCTTATATTTGATTGTTTCTATTTGAGTTAAAATATGTTTATACTTGATTGCTTTATATTTGGGTAGTAGTATTTAGACTTGGGATAGTGTGTGTTTAACCCTGTAATCAGTTCTGGGAAGTCCAGGGGGGGGGGTGGAAGGGGATGAAGGGGGATAAAATTATATAAAATATGGTGTATTAATAGAGAAATAATGGGAAAAAATTTTCTTTTAAGTGGAGATGGCCGGCTGGTACCCCTAAACTGCATCCGAAGGATGAGGAAAAGAAAGAAGTGGGATGTGTAGGTTAGTTGGGAGGAAGGAGGAGAGAGGTGTGGATAGGAGGGGAGGAAAGTAAGAGGAAAGTAGGTTGGAAGGGAGAGAGAGAGGGAGGATGCGGGGGGGGGGGATTGCCGACCACCCCCAAAAAACATATTACTTAATAGTTTTTTTTTAATGAAGTACACCATATTTGTATTGTGTTATATATTTTTTTATTTGAAAATCAATAAAATTTGTAAAACAAAAATACGTTGATCTATTAAGTAAACACTACTAATAAAATCTCCAAAAAATCCTAACCATCAAAAGTAACAAATGGAAAAATCAGGAAATCAGGAAAAAAATAATCGTATCGTCAAAACGTTAGTTAGAACTCGGTTAAAAATCAGTCATCTGTTCTAAAATATTGAATCCTTCAAGTTCTAACGTGTCTCTAACCGTTGATAAAAATTTTTTTCCCAAGTTCTAAAATAAATTGAATCATCTTTTTTCTTTGATTTCTAATGTTAGTCTATCCATGTCGACAATTCTTGACTTCCGCAACAGGCAGGCAGATTCAACCAGCGCGTCAATCGGGAACATGTGACCATCCTAGACCAGGCCAAAAACGATGGAGAATTTCCAGAAGCCCGGCATTCCAACAAATCAGCGACCGACAGGCGCGTAGACATTAACGGCATCTGTGCAAAAGAGACGATCCACCAGCCCCAAAAGGGAAAAAAGACTCCAGCACCAGGAATCCGCACTCAGATCCGCATAGATTAGCTCCGAGGTCAACGTCAGGCCCAACCATCAAGTAAGCAAGACCCCGCCGATCAAGAAACTGCCAAAGAGCCATTAGTAAGTAAGCCCAACCAAAGGGTCCCTGACACTGATCCCATCCACCCAGGTAGGCAAGAAGGCAGAATATAAACTGACAGCAAACAGCACTCCTTACTAAAGTAGAACTGATGATGTTCCCTAGTTGGGTCATGAAACGTCTGCAAGGAAACTAGCAAGCTCAGAGAGCACCAAGGATCCCACAGCTCTCCTCCTCCTCCTCCTCCTCCTCCTCCTCCAACCTCATTCCCTTCTAGCACTGATGATGTCACCTACTTGGGTCATGAAACGTCTGCAAGAAAGCAACCAAGCTCAGAGAGCACCAAGGACCCCACGTTCTTCCTCCTCCTCCTCCTCCTCCCTTCTAACACTGATGATGTTACAAAACGTCTGCAAGAAAACCACCCAGCTCAGAGAGCACCGAGGACCCCACAATCCTCCTCCTCCTCCTCTCTGCAAACCCCCCTCCCTTCTATCACTGATGATGTTCCCTAGCTGGGTCACGAAACGTCTGCTAGAAAACCACCCAGCTCAGAGAGCAGCAAGGACCCCACATTCCTCCTCCTCCTCCTCTCTACCACTGATGATATTCCCTAGTTAGGGTAATGAAACATCTGGAAGGTAACCAGCAAGCTCAGAGNCAAACCCCACTCCCTTCTAGCACTGATGATGTCACCTAGTTGGGTCATGAAACGTCTGCAAGAAAGCAACCAAGCTCAGAGAGCACCAAGGACCCCACAATCCTTTCTTTCCTTTCTCTTTCTTTCTTTCTTTCTTTCTTTCTTTCTTTCTTTCTTTCTTTCTTTCTCTCTCTCTTTCTTTCTTTTCTCTGTCTCTCTTTCTTTCTCTTCTCCTCCTCCTCCTCTCCACAGCCCCCCTGCTTCTAGCACTGATGATGTTCCCTAGTTGGGTCATGAAACGTCTGCAAGGAAACCACCAAGTTCAGAGCGCACCGAGGACCCCACAATCCTTTCTTTCTTTCTTTCTTTCTTTCTTTCTTTCTTTCTTTCTTTCTTTCTTTCTTTCTTTTTGTTTCTCTCTCTTTCTTTTTCTCTCTCTCTCTCTCTCTTTCTTTCTCTTCTCCTCCTCTCCACAGCCCCCCTGCTTCTAGCACTGATGATGTTCCCTAGTCAGGTCATGAAACGTCTGCAAAGAAACAACCAAGCTCAGAGAGCACCAAGGACCCCACAGTCCTCCTCCTCCTCCTCCTCCTCTCTACCACTGATGATGTTCCCTAGCGAAGGTAATGAAACGTCTGAAGGAAACCAGCAAGCTCAGAGAGCACCCAGGACACCCCTCACCATCTTTGGAACACCATGCCGTATACACAAACAATTCCTGCAACCCCTGTGGAGACAGAACGAGATGTTCCAGAGAGAACAGGAAAAGCTCTATGGGTAAGTCCTTGACTTACAACAGTTTGTTTCATGACCGTTCAAAGTCAGCTGACCAGTCTTCACACCGATGACCGTTGCAGCATCCCCATGGTCACGTGATCAAAATTCAGACACTGGGCAACTGACCGGTGCTTTAGGACAGTTTGCCGTGTCCCAGGGTCACGTGATCCCCTTTGGCGACCTTCCGACAAGCAAAGTCCATGCCGGATTCACTTAACAACCGCGCGACTATCTTAACCACTGTGGCAAGGAAGGTCATCAGCTGGGGTGAAACTCACCGAATGAATTTATCACGTCACAGCGTAAAGTTTGGGCTCAGTCGTGGCCATAGGTTGAGGACAATCTGTACTTAGAAGAAGCAGTTTGGCGTGGTAGGTTAAGGCAAGTCTAGTGTACCTCAAGCTTGGTGATTTGAATATATGTGGACTTCAACTCCCAGAAAGCCACAGCTAGCATTCTGGGCCGGGCAATCACTTATGAGCTTGTATTGAGAGTTTGTGCAAAAGACACGTGTGTGTGTGTGTGTGTGTGTGTGTGTGTGTGAGAGAGAGAGAGAGAGAGAGAGAGACAGAGAGAGAGAGAGAGAGAGAGAGAGAGAGAAATTTTTCAGCCCTTTTCACTATAACCAGGCAAGCTTCCAGCTTCTATTCCAGTGATGGCGAACCTTTTAGAGACTGAGTGCCCAAACTGCAACCCAAAACCCACTTATGCATCGTCGAGTGCCGGGTGGGTGTGGCCCATTGGCTGGGCGTGGCAAGATCCTTTAGTCTTGCCATTGTTAACTTTGAAAACCTGGATCAGACCAACACCCATTTTAGTTAAACATTTTGTTTCACGTACTGTAGTTGCCAGCTTATACTACTAGGATGCTAATAGACAAGAATAACAGAATAACAGATTTGGAAGGGACCTTGGAGATCTTCTAGTCCAGTGATGGCGAACCTTTTAGAAACTGAGTGCCCAAACTGCAACCCAAAATCTACTTATGCATCATCGAGTGCCGGGTGGGTGTGGCCCATTGGGTGGGCGTGGCCCATTGGGTGGGTGTGGCCCATTGGGTGGGCGTGGCTGCAGTGGTAACGGCAGACTGGGTGGGACTAAAAAGTTCAATCAATCAATTCCAACTTTGCAAGATCTTTTTTTTCCCCACAAGAAGTTGAAATTGACTGATTGAACCTTTTTTTTTTTTTGCACACGGCGATGGAGGCCTAAAGCAAAAAGGTTTTATAAAACCCAGCTGAAGGCCTAGGACTGGGGCGACGGCGCGCGTGCCCACAGAGAGGGCTCTGAGTGCCGCCTCTGGCACCCGTGCCATAGGTTCGCCACCACTGTTCTATTCCATTCCATTCCATATTTTGTATTCTATTCTATTCAATTCCTTAATTCTATTCTATTCTATTCTATTCTATTCTAATTCTTATTCTATGCCTTAATTCTATTCTATTCTATGCCTTAATTCTATTCTATTCTATTCTCTTTTATTCTATTCCTTATTCTATTCTATTCCTATTCTATTCTAATTCTTATTCTATTCCTTAATTCTATTCTATTCTATTCTATTCCTATTTTATATTCCATTCCATATTTTCTTTTCTATTCTATTCCTTAATTCTATTCTATTCTATTCCTTAATTCTATTCTATTCCTATTCTAATCTAATTCTTATTCTATTCCTTAATTCTATTCGATTCGATTCCTTACTTCTATTCTATTCTATTCTTTTATTCTCTTTTATTCTATTCCTTATTCTATTCTATTCTACTCCTATTCTATTCTATTCCTATTCTATATTCCATTCCATTCCATATTTTCTTTTCTATTCTATTCCATTCCATTCAATTCCATTCCATTCCATATATTCTGTTCTGTTCTATTCTTTT